ATTAAGGGAAATGATCCTGCCCTGATTCCAGTTTTCCTCTTGCCAACAGGCACTCAATATCCTATTTGATCATGTGAACAAGGCTCTTTGGATCAGCAAGGAGGTGTGGCTTTTACAGAGATTAAAAACTCTTGTCTTTTCACTCTGATCTATTGCGTAGGAAGCTTTCCTTCACTAGTCTGGTCAGCCTCCCTGTAGTTTCTTCTTGAAACCTCTCCTGTAAGAAAGCGGTCTGAAATTCCTCAAAGGTTGTACACAACGACATACTAACAAACCCAGGGGTTTGTTCAGATTTTTGTTTAAATAAGTGAATTATATAATAAATAAGAGCTTTGCAGAGAGATGGATGGATGAAAGCAGCAGGGAAGGATGGTTCCAAGATTTGCTGGCACAGAAACTCCTCATGATTCCAACTAGATGATACTGTGCAAAATTGACAGTGCAGAGAAATTATTACACAGGCAAATAAAACACCACTGTGCTTTGTAGGGTTTTGCCCACCTCTGTGTGGACTGTTCTTCGGTAACCTTGTAATTGCAGCTCTCTATAATAAATTGTTTTCCTTTGGCAGATCATTTATATTTGGCTTACTGAGTCAATGTTGTAAGTTCTCTTGGGGAAACTGTTGTTTAATTTCAGCCCTATTCAGGAATTCACCTACCCACAAGTAGGGCTAATGTGTGGTGGGACTGTGAGCAGCTCTGCAGGTCTCGTCTTTCACGTGTCTGGCTCCTTCCAAAGATGTTTTCCTGCAATCTATCATGGCAAGGGCTTGAAGTGTTTCCAGGCAAACATGACTACTACATCCTTGCAGAAGCAGATTCCTTGAAGCAAATAAACCCTGGGAGAAACTTGAGCCTCACCCTTTCAACAGAAATGTGAACAAATGAAAAAATAAGACACACAAGTAGAGTACAGTAGTAGACAAGGCTAACAGGTGCTACAGCTTAGTAATGCCCTTTGCTTGTTTTCTGGTACATTGGAAATGAAATGTGGGGTAATATTTTCTGTTTACTTTTTATTCAGAATTAAAAGAGGAAGACAATGGACTGATTATTATGACTGAGAACATAAGTCGGGAAGTTGTCATAATCAGAGTTAGTGCCAAGCCACTTTTTAAGCTGCTAGGTGGTGATGGAGCCAGGCTGGTGTAGTGGTTAAGGTGCCAGGCTTGAGACCAGGAGGCCATGAATTCTAGTTCCGCCTTAAGCACAAAGCCAGCTGGGTGACCTTGGGCCAGTCCCTCCCTCTCAGCCCTAGGAAGCAGCCAAGGGCAAAACCACTTCCAAAATCTTCCCAAGACAACTGTAGGAACTGGTCCAGGCAGTCGCCAGGAGGCATCCCTGACTCAAAGGCACACATACACAGATGGTGAAGTGCTTTTCTTCTGGCTCCAATGGCTTTGGTAGAACATTTATCCAACAACTGTTCTTCCAGAACAGAAAAAGCAAGTTAGTAGACTGGCTGACTACGATGCCATCACCAACAAATTGGGAAGCTACGGATGGAGACTTTATAACCTCTCTGTACTGAGATGGATGCATCACTCATTGTGCATCTCCACTGCATTATAGTTGTATTACTGAAGAGAGAGAATACATCAAGCCAAAAATACCAAATACCGCGGCAAATTTCAGGCACTGTCTACTTCTCAACAGTAGAAATACCAGTTTGTCAGTAACTTTTCTTACCAAATATGGAAGACAAACATAAATTAGTCCAATTAAAAATATCAGGCCACCAGCTTTGGATCCTTTATTCTCAAGGTCAAAAACACCAAGACATGCTTGAGCCAAATTGTATTGCAAGTCTTTTTGAGAGCTGCTATCAAATCCCTTTTCTCCTTTCACTGCATTTTTGTGGCCCTGCGAAAAGCCATGTTTCTTTTTGGAATTACTGTAATATTACCCAACCTAGTGCCCTCTAGCCATACCAGATAACAACTCCACTAACTAGGAATCATGGGAACTGTAGTCCAATAACTCTGAAGAACAGCAGATTGAGGAAAATGGTTGTGTGTTGCACCTTATCTCTTTTTAAATTTTATTTAATTTATAACATCTCCAAATTATCTGTAAGATGCAAATAAAAAACTGAGTTTCTTACTTAAATAATTTCTTAACATTTTCTTACTGCTTTGTATTAAAAAAACAGTTCAAAGATACCACTTATTTTTTTATATTAACTGGATTAAAAGTTTTAAATAGAACATAAAAACTAACACAAACTAATACAGAAATAAAGGAAACAAAGAAAGAAAAAGGGAAAGAAAAGAAAAGTGCAGAAAGAAAAGATAAAAAGAAATAGAAAGAAGCAGCTTCGGATTTCCTTTGTAACAAATATAAGTATGATTACAAAATTATCTCTTACTCTATGATTACAAAAAAAAAAGCTCACGTTTTTCTATTATCCAATTTTTTTCTAATCATCAAAATCACAAATCATAAATGCATTTTTTTCTGGTCCATGCAAAAAGTCTATAAGGGGTCAAAGATATCACCTTAGATAGTAAACATAACTCTGAATTATTGATTTGTTCTACTCTGTGGATTGTGTATATCCACACTGTAGAAACACTCAAGTTCTTACTTTTCCTAAAACAGCAAAGACAAACTACGGAGTACATCTGGATGCCTCATGGAGGAGTTGATTCATTTCCAAATGAATATCAGATTTGGAAATGAATCAACTCATCCACATAATACTCAGTAGCTGATTATTTAGAGGATAGTAACTTTGAGATCCAGAAGAGTCCCAGCCCATTTCCATATATGAAGTGCCCTAGCCATAATAAAAATAATAAAAGATGTCCTATGAATAACAATAAAAAACCAAGTCTCCCTTAAGCTCAACCTCTGGTGACCACTTAGATCTTGCTTAGCTTTTTTGAGACAAGCCGAGGTCACCAAGAAACTGCCTGGAAAGTTGAAGATTTTGATATCAATATTAGTCATCACTGATAACTTTTAAATTATTCCTTGACTGAAATGTGAAGACCAAAATTCTACCTTCAGAGAGGATCAAACCTGCCAAAATTTATAATTGGTCTATGATTCTTTGTGCAGTAGCAAGTTTCCAATTTGAATGTTTTTAAAATATCTGGTTTTTGTGAACAATTGTTATGAAAATGACACACAACCCAGAAAAAGCTTTAGCTAAAATCCTCCTCCTCCTCCTCCTCCTCCTCCTCCTCCTCCTCCTCCATCACTTATCATCTGTGTTATATTTTACTCTATATCCCATATTATATTTTTACTTCAGAGGTTTTGTAATGTTATATTAATATTAACCAGAATTAGATATATAGAACTTAGCATTACAATGTTGTAGCTTTGTATGAATAATGCTGGCTTTTATATGCTTTTTACTTCTTATGCCTTACAGGTGTGTTTGTTTCTTACTGCTTTTATGTTATGCTGATCTACAGCTGACATAAATGTTTGGTTTGGGGGGGGAAAAACCCTGCAAAATGTTAGAAAGCTAAGTGCAATAATTCTCATGGAAAAGGGATTTTTCTGGTGCGCATGTACATGATCATTTGTGAAGTCTTGGTTTTGTGCAGACACATGAACACATGTGAGTTTTAAATGAAACTGGTATTCAGAATTTCAAAAGCGATAGATCCAGGGACTATAATATTATGTTAATAGAAAACAATTTAAAGGCTTTCTACGTCTGCTTCGATGGCACCAAAATCCAAGGGAAAGAACAGGAGCAGATGGTGAAAGTATGGTAAGCAGTGATAGAGACAGACTTGAATAACTGGTGCTTTCCCAAATCAGTGCTACATAACATGCTACAGACTTCACCAAAAAATTTTTGTAACTTATCCTGCTCTTCAGAAAAACCTTACTACGAGAATGTCTTCACTTAGACGTGTTAGCTTTTCTGATGAACTTTGGGAGTTTTGCTGGAGGCAGGTATCCCTGAATTGCTGGCAAATTTCAGCAGCCCATGTCGGGGGATTCACAGGGAGGATCAAAAAAGTGAAGATGGTGGGTATGACCATGAAATTGAAGCCCCACACGTTTTATGTACACAGGATGCATGTAGTGAATGTTAAAAAGGGGCAGGCCCTCAATCAAGTGGTCGTGTTCACTATCGTGACTTGTCTGATGCCTCCATGGACATCCCTGTCTCCTCTCCATGTCATCCTTCAAAAAGAGATTGGAGGATTTGAGGGGCAGCTTAAATATTGTTCCAGTTTCAATATTATTTAATATCCTTATCTCTGTTGGGGAACTTAGTAAGCGCCGTCCCCTAACTTCAACTGTTCTTGAAAAATGCTAAGCAGGATCAAGCCAGTTTAATACTTGGGTGAGCAAGCACCAGGCAATCCAAGGACTGTAGGGTGCATTGAGAAACCCAAAAAACATCACAAGAAGCAAAGGCAAACTCTTGGAGATTGATGCTAAAAATCTGGTATGATGTATCAGTCCGGATTTGAGCCTTTGAATCACTCTTGACTCCTGGAGACTGCCAGGACTAGTCCCTGCAGTTTTCTTGGCAACATTTTCAGAAGCGGCTTGCCACTGCCTCCTTCCTAGGGCTGAGAGAGAGTGACTGGCCCAAGGTCACCCAGCTGGCTTCGTGCCTAAGTGCCTCACGGTCTCCCGGTTTCTAGTCGGATGCCTTAACCACTACCCCAAACCAGCCTTCTTTATTACACTGTTTGGCATATTTGAACTTCTTAAAAAGTGAGCAGGCCTTCTGAATAATCTGCTTAGACATATGCATGCAGGTAAGTTTGTTTCCATGTATGCAGGCCAAGATTTCAGGTATTCGACCTTGCTATGCTTCGCACTGCCCCACTCGTGAGAACGAAAGCCCATTAGGCCCAGGTCTGAGAAATGTCAGCACGAGTCCACTAGATGGCACCATGGAGCCATCCATGAGGCCTGACAGAGGGGGAACTTCCCAGGCAACTACCTTTAAGGTGAGCCTATCTGTCTGCAGATGGGAAGTCTTGGCCCAGCCCCTTGAAAGCTAGTAATGCAAGGAGTTGATTGGGAGAGAACTGGTTTTGCCACTTCTCTGCCTTACTCTTTCATCATAAGTCAGGGCCAGGCAGGTAGCTTTTGCAATGCAGGAATCTCCGTCAGCCCTTTGGTTCTGGTGAAAGCCTCGCACCAAGGCCACCACGCGAGTGCCTCCATGCCTCAGGCCTGTGGCCACCAAGCTGAGAGACTTGCAGAGCGACGGAGCTGAGCCTGCGAGCCAGCCAGGGTCTGGGAGCAGGATTGCCTCCGGGGGAAATGGAGCGGAGATTTCTTGGCAGAAAAGCAGCTCTCTCTTTGGAGCTCCTGCTTCTGCTCTGTGTTTCCCTTCCGCAAGAGATACCTGCTAAAGAAGGTAAGGGCAGCTGGGGATGAGGGAAAGATGGGGAGGCACCCAGGGTTCGAAATTTGGGGGAGCTGCACCAACCCCTTGGAAGGTTGCAGGAGGGAAGTTTTAGACTCCAAAACCGAAAGCCAAACAAAAGGAGAACATACTTGGCAAGGACACGTTACCTTGAAAGTTGTGGTACGCACGAGTACTGAAATGTGGGAAGGATGGCTGGGGAGTTCCGAAAGGCTGCCCTCAGATATCTTCCGCAAAGACAAAGCCCGAATCTGCCAAACTTTTCTTGCCGACAGGTTTACTTGTCAGCAGGTTGGGATCAGTGGTAGCATCCAGTGATAAACCTGGATTTGCTGCTGTCTGAATGTATGAAACAGCCCTAGCTTTGGAAGACAAGGAAGAACCTGACAAGAAAGTTGGATTAATCACTCTCCAGCTTTGCCCATTGTTATGTTAACTACCCTGCTGAAAAGCCGGGTGAAGGGGGGCCTGGCATTTCCAATCGCTGAAAATCCTTTCAAATGACAACTGGTAGCCCTTGAGCTCTGGATTTTAGGAGAGCTTTTGTTGGCTTCCGGATTTTAGGGTGGTTTTCCAAAGAATCTTTTTTTAATGAGATTATTGGATAACTGGAATCTCCTGGTAAGCAAGCAATGAAGTTATGAGTCAAATGAACTTTATAGAGTTCATTACATTCGAATCTTAGTGAAAACCTGAATCATGCATCTTCCGCTTGCCTGTGGCAGGCTGGGTTGGGCTGTAACTAGTCATTTCTGTGTTGGGCGTTGGGTCCCACTTACACACCCCCACACTCCTGATACAATACAACATGCACGCAATCTTTTTTAATAGTATAAATAAAAAAAAATATCACTGGGCACCTTATGTATAATTAATAGAAGAAATAATAGGCTTCTCTGAATTAGCTCCTGTAAAAAATGACGAATGCATTCTGTTAATAGATCTTTAAGAATACTTTCGTTGCAGTAGAAATTTTTTATTCTCTAAGTTAAAACTGCTCCTTTGAAATGCTTATACACCCCCCCAAATGTAAACATCTCTGGTTGCCAAACCCCAACCTCGATCAGTGTTATTTAATGGCTGGAGGTGCTTCTAAATTATTGCAGAGTCAACTGAAGAATTCCTTTTCTGCCTAGCTTCCTACCCTTCCTATTTATCTCCTAAGTAAGCTAGCATCTGACTTTTCATTTGCTATGTTGAAAACATAGCTCATGGCTCCAAAGTGGGGTGGAAAATGTTCACGTCTGGCAAACGGTCCACAAATGAATGTTATGATTGTGATGCTTTTTGCATTTCTGTAATGACAGGACACTGATGACTTGAATATGCATACTGAAAAGTTCTGTAAGACAGCCATTTCCATTCATTTACTTCCTTGATTCTCCTAGCATCAACCAGCTCAAACATATTGTACTGGTCCCCATAATAAAGTTAAATATTGTATTGGTCCAGAGATTCTGCACATGATGACTACGAAAGAACCTGCAAGATCCTAAAAATAAACAATTCCATTAATCACTAGGGCTGATTAGAATTATTTTACTCAGAATACTTTGACATATCTAGTTTATGTGATTGGCTGAACAACTTGGCACTGTAGCCTTAGTAAACAGCAGGATGTATAGGAATGGCCTTTAATCTGTAGTTATTGAAACACTGACAATGACCTGGGATATAATTCTGGGTATAAAAAGCCAGTTATGAATGTCTGAACCTAATGAATACATGCCATCGACAGATTCAAGCAGAGTTTAAAGTCCTAGTACTTTCAATAAGGTCTTGTATTCCAGGAAAACATTTTCCACCATAATGCCTTTCTGTGTAGCCTTGATTTCCGATTAGGTGGCACTTTCTCCTTGCAGAACCTAGCAATAGTGATGAAGCTGGCAGATAATGGGCTCACAGTATGACCTTTTATTGCTCCCAGCCTTATGACAAAGCATACTTGTCTTAAAACTCTTAGTCTGGCCATAATTAAGAAGAAGATATAATTTGAGCTGATATTCTCTCTTGGCACCTTCGTGCTAGCTTACCTGCAGCCACATTGGCAAGGCTGCTACCTGCTCAGAATTCAAAGAATTGAATTCCCTTGCTCACATGTAAAGTAAAGGAATATAGGGCCAGACCCCCAATTCCTCCTGTGAAATTGCACACTTCCCCCTCCCCAGTATCCATACAGTACTTTGGTTTTAAACTGCATAGCACAAAAATGGAAGGAACTCGATATCCTACTTTAAGAAAATAACTTGCATCTATTAATCATTTCAAAGCAGATTTGCTATGGTCCTCTTCCCCCACCTCCATCTGTCCAGAGCAGTCTATATCCAATCAGTTGTATTCAGTCATTCATCTCTTCTGCCAAAGTTTTACCTCATTGTACAATTAAAAAAAAAGAAAAAAGCTCTCAAAAAGTGTTCTGGTATGTAACGTTTCCTAACAGATCACATTTGTAGGCATTTTTGAAAACAACTTTCTGCAAGATATACATTTTTATCTATAATTTTTAAGCCAAGAAATATTTTGAGATGGGCATTAACAGACTCTGAATTATGTGCCTGTTTGTGCCATGATATATTCTGTTTTCATGGAATGTTCTCTTGGGAGGAATCCATGATGAATTGCTTTAACATTCTTAGCATAAGTATTGCATAATTTAAGTTGTAGGTTCATTCCTAGCACTCCTATCCAGTTATAACAATTCTTATAGAAGGGCTGTGTTCCAAACTTGTAATCATATGAATTGCTACATTGAAGAGGTTAAGTATAAGTATTGTACCCCAATACTTAGTTTCTTAAGATGTTTCAAGTTTTGGAGTTTCTGACTCTAATAGGTTAGTCATTTTTGCTCTTTGGGAATGCTCTTTGAAAATGTTGTTAGCATTATTTCAATTCAGCTGGTGACTCCATGTGTATATTTGTTTATTAAATTTATATGCCGCCCAACATACGAAGCCCCATGCAATCAAAAGATTGCCTTTTCACATTCACCCGTTGATGTTCAGTCTGATCTGCTTAGGAAAATAATGTTTTGTGAGATAATTAAGTTTTTCTAGTATATCCTTAATTAGAAGGAGCTATATTGTCATTTTAACAATCAGCATAGGGCGGACTATTGTATAGCCGCAAAGAAGGAGCTGTAGTGACATGTAACACCGAGAGATCTCCGTGAGAGATCTCTGATGAGATAACATTGGCTGGTGCTAAGGATGTCCCTCTGCTATCTAGACATGTCATTGATGTATAGATGTTCCAACCTTTAAAAATATTTTATGATTACCTTTGGTTTTCACAATAGGAAGATAAGATAGTCTTCACAGAGACATTACAGCAGCTGAGAGACTGGAGGGAATTAATACTTCTGTCATGCCTTCACAGCATGTTATCATTTTACAGCCTTCACTCATTTGTGGAAATATTTCATGACTGAAATTCCTGATGGGGAAGTGGGTCTTGGATAGGAACGAGGAAGCAAGGAAGTAACAGCAAAGATTGTAGCATGTGCAAATAATAATACCTTTATCCTGTTAATTTTTGAAATTGATTTTAAAATGTTTCAGACCACACAGGGCATAAAGGTAGCACCATTAAAGCAGTTGCATTTTTTCCTGGGATGGTGCAGTGAGACAACTGCTTTAAAGAGATCACTGCTGCCTCATAATCCTAGGAAAAGATGCAGCTGCTTTAAAGAATTTCAGACAGCACTACATATGAAGTCTCATGCACTCCATAGCACTTTTTAGAAACTGGGTGCAAAGTACTACACAGTCCTAATGCTTATGCTAAATTAGTATGAGGTTGATTTTACAACTTTCTAGACTATATAAAGGTACTTCAAGTTTATGTTGGAAATGTGGAAAACATCAAGAGTCATTTTATCATGCTTGGTGGGCTTGTAAAAAAGCTAGAAAGTTTTGGGTTCCAAATACACACAGTGATACAAAGAATTTTAAATATTAATTGAAACTGAAACCAGAACTTTTCTTGCTGGGACTAATGGAAAGACAACTAGAAAAGACATATGGAACATCGTTCTTCCATATGGTAACTGCAGCGAGATTATTATATGCACAAAGATGGAAAGATTCTGAAATACCCACAAATGGAGGAATGGTTGGTGAAGATGACAGAATTTGCAGAGATGGCAAAATTGACTTGTCTGATTAGAGAAAGGACAATAACCACATTTATTAGTGATTGGAAACCCCTTATGGACTTTTTGCTGAAAAAAGAAAAAAAATGAAATTGTGATTTATGGATTTGATGATTAGAAAGGGTAGTCTATGGAAAGAAGGGAATTATGTTGTAACCTCAGAGAAAGAGGGTAAAATATAAATATACTTGTAACTGCTGTTAAGAAGATCAGAAGCCCCTTTTTTATATAACTTTTGCTTTGCTTTGCCTTGCATTTTTTTTCACTTGCTTATTACTTTACTTTCTGTACTTTTTTCTTTCAAAATTTGTATTGTCTTTATTTCTCTTAAAATTTCTTCAATAAAAATTATATACAAAAAAGAGATTGATTTTAAAATAATTATCCTTGGGAGAAAAAAAATAAACCATTATTGCATACTGTAACATATATAAATATTTAATGTCACTAGCTTAATAGCAATCATCCTACAGATCTTTTTAACAAAACTAAACTGCCTTCTAGGATAATATGAATTGTACAGAAACGTACTGTAAAATTTAAAATAATGTGGTAATACAGCCACATCCATCAGTAGAAATGGTAGGATTGAGGAAAGATAAACGATCTAGAGTCAAACCAATATTACATATTTAAATGCTTGTACATATTGGTAGAGTAGTATGCACTAGCTAACATATGATCCAGGAGGTCATAGACTCATAGAATTCAGTTTATTTATAATATGAGGACAATAATTCTGGCTGTTTCTAAGAACTATTGAGTTAATGTATGCTAAGAGCGGGGAAGCCACCTTTGGAAATACTCTGGGGAAGAAGATCATCTTATTTTTTAGCCAAAACCAAATTTACTTGCCATGAAGCTAATGAGTCTTTCCTTCACCTTGCCGGGCCCTCATTCTAACTCCTGATCTGTCCCATTCCTTCCTTTTAATTTCCTTAATAGTTGGACTGTGTCAGCAGCTCACAGGTGATACTGTCCACCTGGGGTAAAGGGGAGGGGAGATGTCTCTCCTACCCCTTTTTGGTGCCAGGAAGAAAGATCTGCTAGCCCAGGATTAAGCAAAATCTGAGGAGAGGAGAGGAGAGGAGAGGAGAGGACTCGGTGGAGAAGAAGGAATCCAGAGGAGAGGAGAGTTGATTTAGAGAGGAAAAGGGAGGATGGAGTAAGAACTAAGCAGTAAGCCCAAGAATATGGACTTCTCTTTCACCACAATCAATAAGGCATGGGGAATAAAGAAGATGAGCCATGAGAAAAGACAACTGAAGCTGCAAAGACCTATTTGCATGGTTTTCAGATACAGCTACGCCATGGGATGATCCTGGAGAATGGTGGTTCCTATTATAATGTTTAAAGTGTGTATTATATTCAGCCCAAAGTCAAGTTTGCAAACTCACTGCTTTTATAGGTAGATTGGTTTGATATTGGATATGCTGAGTGAAAATAAAGTAGCATTTATAAAATTAAGCAGAGTCCTGAAATTGAGCATGAGGATCTCATCCCTAAAGGTCAGAAGGAAAGCAGGAGCCTCTGTTCTAACCCCTAAACCCTCTTAAACACCAGATTGTTACCTGGAGGCTTCTTGGGCTTATGTTTGATTGACATTCAATCCTTTTATACATACAGCAGAACAAATAATTCAGTAGTACCTGCTACCTAGATTTAAGACAAAAGTGTCTACAATATGCCTGTTTCTTTGACTTACAGAGACTTTTTTTTATAGCCTGCCAGCCAGTCACTCCTGATTTTAGTTTAGTTCCCTGAACCAGTACTAATTAACTGGCACTTTGGGTAACTTCCACTTGTCCTTTCTCATGCTTTTGCTAGGTTAAAATGAAATACTAGAAACAGGCTGTTCATTTTTAGAATGCAGAATCTAAATGTTTGGTTGTTGATCTTTTTTTTTAATTACTAAGATTTACAATGCATGAATCCCTGAAACTGCCTTGATTTTGGAAAATGTCAGATTATGAAATTTAATAAATCATCAACTGAGACCGTAACCTAACAGTCTGAAGGAAAGAGTCCCTGCAAGCAAGGGGTGAGCTGCCTAAGATTCATGGTGGTTGTTCTTTAGCTGTTTGAGTTTTAACCAAGTGGCAACAAACCAGTCCATCCTTCACTGGAAAAGAGAGAGAGAGAGAGGAAACAGTGCAAGCAAGAAAAGTAGTAATGCCCTTCCCCCTTTCCTTCCTTCCTTCCTTCCTTCCTTCCTTCCTTCCTTCCTTCCTTCCTTCCTTCCTTCCTTCCTTCCTTCCTT